TGAACTGGGTAAAATAGAGTTACGCTTCTCTATGCTCAGGAGGAATAGTGGTTACGGGAATATTCGTCTAGACATGTAGTTATCGTGACGAGTTATTATTGTAGAAGGCTATTATACGAATAATTCGTAAAGCGTTAATCACACAGAACCCATTAATAAAGCGATACTGAGTAGAACCCTCAGGATAGCCTATCGCGTTCACACTACTAAATATAAAAAAAATAACAAAGTTACTGATTCGATAATAAATTTATGAGATGAATGAGCAACAGATGCTGATGCTGTATTAAAAGGAGAAGGTGCTAAGTTAGGTAAGAAAGTTGGTGAATTAAGAGAGATTAGTGCTAAAATAAGTAAGATTGATGTTGAACTAAAAGCAGCTGAGAAAGTAAAAGAAGATGCTAAAAAAAATCGGGTAAGTGGTTTAATTACTCAATTTAAAACCTTTCGTGATAAACCAGGAAATAGAATTTATAAAGAACTATTATTTATGCGCAATATTTTAGGGTGGATTAAAAAGTGAGAAAAATTAAAAATGGGTGCTACTTTTGATCCGGATGCCGAGTTAGCTAAATTAGATGCTGCCGAAACAATAAATTAGCTAAATATAATAATTGGGTCAAACATGGTACTCACTTTATTGAAAGGTTAGAGAATTGAAAAAAAGAGGATGGTAAATATTTTAATGAGAAAGCAGTAAAGCTTTATTTAAAAGAAATAAAAGATGCTTTGGAATCCATGGGACGGGGATTAGTTCCAGTGGAACAAAATGAGTTAGACCAAATTAATCACTATCTGGCGCATGGTCCAGTTCCCCTCGAAAGGAGAATTCTGCCGATGAAACTGAAAGCGGCCTTAGGAGTGAAAACTAATGTGTTTCGGAATTTAACTAAAAAATGAATCAATTACTCCCAAAATATTGATTTTAAAGTTAAGAGTGATGAGATTAAAGAATTAGCCAACCGAGTTAATAAACCGGGATCTAAAATCCAAGCTCCAATAATTAAATACTGTAAAAAGGCTCTAGCTAAAAAACCAGAACTAATTGAAGATGATACTTATGAACTTCCCGAAGCGAGTGCCAACAATCGGGATTGACTAGACTGATTCTTTACTCGGGATCCCGAAATAGTAGTAGGAACCATTGCTTTACAAGAAATCAAAGCTGATAATAATCTTAAAGTTGGAATCTTGCAAGAGATGAAAGATTATAAAAACAGTAAAGATAATCTAATCTTGTTAGATCGCACTGTTTATGGAAATGGAGAAGAATTTACCGAAGAAGGAATCATTAAATTCTATACGTATACGGAAAAGTTAGGGGGACAAAATCATGCTACTAAGAAGTATGAAAAGCCTTTCAAAGATGAACAACAAGAAGTGTTCTGAACCTGAAGTAATCCTCTGGCTATCTTATCTGGAATCGGATTACTGAGCTTAGGAGGTGGACTCATTTGAGCCATTATTTGTTGGAAAAAGATTGTGGCTTGATGAAACAAACCAGCTGACCTGGAAGGAGATGAATTTGATGGTGAAGAGGATGAATGATAGATAAAATTGCTGGAAACACAAAAAAGGTGTTCTAATAATGATTTGATTATTTATTCTGCCAGTCTTCTTTTCTTTCTTGGTTCATCATGTGTTGGTGTTAATGCTCGCTTAGTAGTTATGATTTTTCGTTCTTCTTGGTAAATTTCATAAGTGATTTTTTCTTGATCTAGATATTCCTGGAGAGTTTGGGTGTCATTTATTTTAAAAACATATGGAGCAATTTTTTCTCCTTGCTCTTTCTTTAGAATACTTCTAATGGTGCTGTAATTCTTGGGTTCCATGGTGGATTTGATGTAAATTAGTTTCATATTAATATTTTTTATATAGTAATAGAGGTAATCCTATATTAATCCTGTTATGGTTTATATTTACCACATTTTGGTATGATAAAGTGAACATTAAATTTAACAAGTCCATAAGTTATGAATGAGCACCATTATTATTATTACTTTTCAAAATGTCATCAGTCACACTGGTTAATTTTACAGCTATACTAATACCATAATCAGCTCTCATTTATGTCATATAATAGAATGTTCACTTTGTCTGGTTTTGTTGCAGCATGCCCCAAATCACCATGTACATATCCACTCCTGCTTTGTCATCAACATCATCCATTCATTGTCTGGTAAATACTCCATTACCACTATTTTCCAACAGTTCTGGGGGCAAACCCTTTCTTAGCTGCATCAATGTGAGCTTGTATATGTAGTCCTGAAAGCTCTGTTACATAGAGTGGTTTTTTATTAATAATATTAATGCGCAAAAGTTGCGAAATGAGCAGCAGTTTACTATATCAGGACCAATTCACTCACATTTGGAGTAATTGCACCACACTTAATAACACTTGTATGTAAAACATAAAACTTCCATCAACACAAACGTTTTGTGATTGTAATCTATGATGTGAAGATTCACTAGAGATATTTTTTAAAATCGAGGCGGCAATGCCTTTTCCTCGCGTAATTAGTGAATTTGAGTTTGCGGCAAAAAGCGTTGAACAGTCATGCGTTAAATCTTACCATTTTGCTATTGTCAAATCTGGTCTTTTTGTCAAAACCCATTTATGCGAGGTAAAAAAATTTTTTGCAGTCATCACAACAGGTTTTATAAGCATTTTGTTTGGCAAATAATACAATAAATGACACAAAGTTAGTTTAGTTACATATAAGACTTTTCAATGTTTGGCGCTGGGCAATACTGATAGTGGACGCAAAAAATCTGACAAGTTTCTACACTATATATATGTAATAAACAAAAACGAATCTCATCATATATCATGTGATATACACTAATCTTTCGCTCATACAACGCCATTAATTCCTCACGACTTATTTTTTTTTTAGAGGTGCCAGCTTAATTTTCGGGAAATATTATTGCAAGATCAAACACTCTAGGCAGGCAAAAACTTTTAATCGGGAATAAAGAAACGGTTTAAACGTAGTTTATCAGAAGATAATAAATTTTTTTCTTGCTCGCTTGAATCTATTATTAAATCGTTGGACTTTAGAACAAAAACGTTTTATCTAACCCATAATAATAATACGCAGACTTGTTACTAGTTCCCTGTTACGAAAGCAGGCCAATAGTACTAATGACACGTGATTTAACGCTTCCCGTTTGCCTTGTGCTTGTGACAGTCATAGAACAACTTTAAACTTGTTTAGATAAGGATATCAGATAATGATAATGATAATGATAGGAATGCACATCACATCTACTCTGACATATATGGTTATGATTATTGGGCCTAACGCGATTACACCATTTGATCGAATTTACTTTTTCGTTTAGTTCATTCAGCCCTTTACAACCTTAAAAAAACCGTTCCAAGCCCGACTTCCCCCAAACACAGACTGCCATAGTAGTGTAGTAGCATAGTAGTAACATGTCGGTAAGTTATTCTAGCGTAAGGCTCTCGCAGTAATGAATGTGACAAGAAAACAAGGGGAATGTGTGATCCTACACAAGGTCAAAGCACTAATGCTAGAGTATTTTGCGTGTTTTCTTGCTAGTCTGACGGTGACGAGTTCAGCCTTCACACTGCCACCAACGTCGATCACGGGTAAAGCGACCGAGTTTTTTTTTTCCTACATAATTCAAACTACGCGTGACAAGTCTTACTAATCACCGCTGTGTATCATACAACAAAAGTCCAACTGACGAGCTTCCCGACGATGATTCTTTTCAGGACCATCGACCGCGGTTATTAATCATGGGCCTGCGCCGGTAATTACTTTGTCATTTTTAATAATTGTGACGGCTGTCCCTTTTTTTCATACAACAGTCTTTCTTTAGTATATTCTTGGTAAGAGTAAGAGCAAATCATTTAGACATGTATTTTTTATCAATATAATTACAAAATTGATATTAACGTAATGTCAGAGTAATAAGTAAACAAATTGAAACCCCCTTCAACCAACCCAACCCCTCCCATTACAGGAGCGGGAAGTCGAGTATAAGAAGAGTAGTTTTTCATAAGCTTCCTGCGAACGAGACACTGTATCTGCGAAGTACACAGAGATTGGAAAAAGATAACATAACGTATCCTTTGCATTGTTTATAGGATATGGGGAATTTGCTCGAATCCGAGAGATTGATATCGTGAGAGCATTATGAAGGTGAAGTGAGGAGGTTATATTGAATTGAAAGGGAGTGGGATGAATGCACAATTGAGAACGTACAAGTCGGAGCGCTTCTTTTGATTATGCCAAAAATTTATATCTTCTTAACTCGCAAACATCAATTATTAAAAGATCGTTTGTTAACTTTCAAGTATGGGATTTTCCTGGTCAAGAATTTCCCTTTAACCCAGTATTTGATGTACAGGAAATATTTGGTGAATATGGCGCATTAATATTCGTGATTGACGCGCAAGTAAGTCGACAGGATTATCAGACTTTGCTCCCGATACTGTCGTTTTATCTTTTAGTTGCAACTCACTAACAATTTTCTTCATCGTTCTTTTTTACGCAAAGGACGACTACGGAGAAGCCTTGGCTCGTTTGCACGAAATTATGATTCACGCTTACCGCATAAATAGTGAACTCGCTTTCGAAGTATTTATTCACAAAGTCGATGCCCTGTCCGACGACTACAAGCTCGATACTCAACGTAATATTCATCAGCGCACAATGGATGCACTCAGCGATGCCGAACTCGAGATCGAACCTCGCTTTCACCTGACGAGTATTTATGATCATTCGATTTTTGAAGCGTTCAGTAAAGTTATACAAAAACTGATTCCACAACTGCCTACATTGGAAAATTTATTGAACAGTTTGTGTGCGGTATGTTATGAAAGGGACGAAAAAGGGTAAAAGGTGTGAAAGAGTGTAGGTGAGGCAGGTGGGAGTTTTTGAAAGATGGAAAATTTAGTTGTGAAATTGGATTTCTTTGCCATCATTGTGACACTTTTTCTCTTCTGCGTTTCACGCTCTAAATATAATTTTGTTCATTCCCCTAAATTTATTACGTATTCTCACTTTTCTTACATTACTCAACTTATCCTCCATTCAAAACGCCTGTTTATCACACAGACCTCTGGGATTGACAAGGCGTTTCTCTTTGACGTAAACTCCAAAATCTACATAGCCACTGACCGTGCGCCCGTTGACATGCAAACATATGAAATTTGTAGCGATATGATTGATGTAATAATGGATGTATCAGAAATATACCGTCCTGTAAATGAGGATGCACAGAACATAGGTGGGGCTGCTGGGGCGGCTGAAAGTACAAATTCTAGTGTGATGATGGATAGAGCAGACGATACTGCGGCGACTATTCAGTTGACTAATGGAGTAGTTCTGGCTTTGAAGGGCGTTAATCGGTAGGTTTAGTGAAAGGAACCGCGGTTGAGTATTCCTTGTGACGACTTTTGTGAACGTACTCGGGCTTTATTATTAATCCACGGCTTCAACATTTATTTAGGTTCCTTGCATTGGTGTGCATTCTACGAGCAGAGAATTATGGAAAGCATGGTTTACTTGAATATAATTTCCAGTGCTTTAAGCAAGCGATAGCTGAAGTTTTTGAAGTGAAACGGATGAGTACCGAACGGCTCAAACAAGAGAATTTGAGGATGGTTGCCGAAGCTTCTACTGCTCAGGTGTGATAGGGATGAATTGAAGAGCAAACGCAGAGTTGGATTAACGAACGTTTGATTCGTGATTTGATAATCATTGGTTTAATACCGACTGTAACGTTCTATTCTCTACTAAACTCTTCTTGTTGTATTTTGGTCTCGTTATAACCGTTATTTTTTATGGTCGTATTTGGGTTTTCTAAAATCAGGAAAAAAAAAACAAAAAACAAAAAAAAATTATTATTCTAGATATTAACATACTTAATTGACATTAGCGCGTCTTTTATTTCTAGACAACTGCTATTATTATTGATTAAACGAATAAAGATAATTGTATCTTACATTTTAGTGCGAAATAAATATTAAATAGCATTATTTAAAGTATATGAATTAAACAGTTTTGGCGTACAGCCGATAACAAGAACTATTAATCAATTACATAACAAAATATTTTGATATAAAATGAATTCGGCCGAGATCATACAACCGTGCTCATTCTTCATAACCCAACATTCGAGGTAAATTCTGGTACTTTTTACAAAATTCGATTTCAAAAGGTTGCATTCGATTGGAATTTGACCCCACATTTTCGCACACGACATAATGAGCGAGTAATTGCGCCAAAAATTGTTATCGTTTTTACGAACTTTGTTGGAAAATGTGTTGTATTTAACCATATACCACAATCTATATTACTTCAGAGGGCAAGATGAATCGCTATTAGACACAAAAACAAAATAGTATATTATACTAATTATCAGTTGGATTTCTCAGTAAGTTTAAAAGCTCTAATTTATTTTTTTATTGGTCTTTGAGCCTTTTAGAATGCTTCTAATGTTGGTTCCATCGTGGAGACTAATTTTGAGTAAAAAATTTAGTCCATGGGTTTACATGAGTAAAAACTATATATCACCAGAGCAAAGCGTTTCCAAAATTGTGGTCAGTTGATTTTCAACCACGTATGTAATAGTCAAATGTTCGTTTTGTCTGGTTTGTTGCAGCCTCATATGAGGACTTGTTTGATGCATCTGATTATGATTAACAGTCTTATTGGGGAGTTGTTGTTTTCCCTTGCTGTCACGTTTGTCATACTACAAGTTTGCGATCTAAAATACATATTTGCAAGTGTACGCGTGTCGCGTGTCTGCGTAACAATCGATAAGTACAATACCAGTTGATGGTATCAAATAAACATGATGGTGGCGGTATCAGTAATGTTGTAACATCAATAATAATAGTAAGACAGAACTCTGTTATTAATGTCTATTAATTTACATCATTTCATGATTACTGCGAGTCACTCCCACGAGTAAACTAAGCTCAATTTTGAATATTGCTTGTCTGTTTTGACATAATCTCTCTTCACATGCAAAATATATGAATGAGCTTTGCCATGTTGCTTGTAAGTAAGACGGTTGGATAATTAACTTCAAAACTCGAGATATTCTTTTCTGAGGTTAAATACCATCGCTTGCATGCCATATGGAAAGAATATCTCGTGCAAATAACTATTACATCTACGCTGTCATTATACAACAGATAAGGGTAGCATCAAAAGGAAGTTTTTCGCATGCGCTAATATTTATCAATCCAGCACGTACGCCACTTTTTCATTATTTTCAAATTAAGCAAAGAGAAATACACATGATTCATTAATATTAATAAGTTACTTTATTGTTATCATACGCCAAAATAATGTGGGAAAAGGTCACATTCTATATGCGTTACATTTGGGGATGACGCGGATAAATCAATGGTATATGGTGTATCAGAACGCTGAAAGTTGTGGACAGATGCGTAATTGTTAAGAAAACGTGTGTCTTTTCTACTTTGTATTATTAATATTAACTGTCAATGCCTTTTGCAATCTCATGTTGATTATGTAAGATCTACACTAGTTACCAATGATCGACATTTTGCATTTACTATTACCCGAAACGACACCATTTCTGTAAATTTCTTTCCAGTTATAAAGCATCCTTATAACCCAATTACTTTCCCAATACATTTTAGACCATGTTCCGTACTGCTTCCGCAAGATTGACCGCGTCTCTTCGACTGCAACTCACTGTTCGTCCCTGCATAAGCATACAAAAAACCCACATTTTTCACAAAATCCCCTTCCGCTTTATTACAACAACTCCCATTCGATATCGCCCATCAACGACCGACGAAGCAAGCAAGACTACAGGTGCAAGTCAACAAAGAAGACCAAGTTTCATAGCCATACTGGCTGTCGCATCAGTCGGTTTGTCAGCGTATCTCGTTTTAGTGAAGTCCAGAGGTACTGGCTGCGAAAGATATGTTTGAAGAGTTGTTGAGATGTGTCTTATGGCTTTTTTTATTTATCATTTAATTGCAAACACGACGTCGTTCGGAACGCCGAGTAGAAGGGCAAAAAAAAGCCATAGAACAAAAACTTGAATCGCGTACAAAGCCCGTTTTTGACAAGGAGAAGTATACGGTCGTCTTTGTATTAGGTGAGTTCTTTGATTCCTCTTGATGTCCTGAATTTTCTCAAGAAATTAATTAATTCTCCTTGCGCTGCCCTATTGTACTGATATTCGCGTTTATTGATTGTATTATCCCAATCAGGTGGTCCCGGTTCCGGCAAAGGGACTCAATGTCAAAACCTTGTTAGGGATTTTGGATTCGTGCACCTCTCTGGTAAGCATTCTTTTTACGCATTTATATAATTCATCGATTCCAGTTATACACCAAATAACTGGAACATCTGTTTAACGTCAGCTGGTGATCTGCTCCGTGCCGAACAGCGGCGACCCGGCTCAGAGTATGGTGAGCTCATAAATTCATGCATCAAGGAAGGCAAAATCGTACCCATGGAAATTACCATTGCCCTACTTGAAAAAGCTATGCGTGAGGATGGCGGGACTCGGTTCTTGATCGATGGGTTTCCGCGAAAAATGGACCAAGCTGTTAAATTTGAAGAGGCTGTAAGTATTTCTCGGTGTAAACAAAAATACTTGACAATTCCCCTACTTGGATTGTTGACTGGTGTTTGCTGATACAGCGCAACATTGATATTATTGGTCTCTTTCTCATGCAAGTGCAATTAATTTTAATCAGTACGCTAATGACATTCTGTATCTTAGGTTTGTGAATCAAAGTCTGTCTTATTTTTCGAATGTCCCGAGGAAGTCATGCTTACGCGTCTCCTCCATCGTGGTGAAACGAGCGGGCGCGTTGATGACAATATAGAATCTATTCGAAAGCGATTCAAGACATTCGTCGAGCAGAGTTATCCGGTAGTGCAATACTTTGAGAAACAAGGCAAAGTAAAGACTGTATTATGCGTAGATACTCCAGAGAAAGTTTATGAAAAAGTGAAGGAGATTTTTAGAGATATATTTAAAGAATAACAGGCGATTTTACGAGTGAATTTGACGATAGATGGGATTCACGTTTACGTGATGTAATAAATATTTAAATACAAGTTTCTCTCACCCAAACATCCCCACTGTTTCTACTTTTGACGATGTGAAAACCGTATTTAATGTGCTCTGCGTGCTATTACTATCGCAGACAAGAAAGTCTGGAAAACTTTATCCCGATTTAGTTTATGCTTGATAATAATTACCAAAATCTACTAAAAAAACCCTTCACATAAACTCCCCATCTAATTGCTATATCTATCTGAAACAATCAATCCCTAGTTCGCTTACTATCTCTACTATCATGGCCATGCCGCCGATCACTTGATCTCGATGATGACGACACGTGAGTCGCCGGAACGTCCCATTTACTGCCCCGTCTCTTTCCTATGATTATTAGATAATAAAGTGAGAACGTTCCTTTTATTAAGCAAAAGCTCGAGACTATATTTACCATCATGGCTGTGGCGATCATGGCGTTTTTCGCTTGATTGTTGTGATACTTCGGATGCAGGTACATCCCATTTGCTAGAGCGCTTCTTCCCTACGTGATATGGTCATAGACAATAATCCAAAAAAAAAAAATGACAAAAAAAAAAAAAAAAGGAAAAAATAAAGGAAAGAAAAGAAAAACAAACAAAATTTTCTTGAAGATTATGAAACGGAAGAGAACATGCATACAAATTATACATACCGGAAGACGGTTTGATATTTGTAGAAACGGTTGCGGACACCGAACTAGTTGAACCAGGCGCATTCTTCTCAACTCTAGCAGCAAGACTCTGCATAACGTGCCTCGCTCTCGACACGCTCGCATTTGCAACGGCCGCTGCACCGACAAACTGGATCTGAGCCCTGTGTTGCTGTTGTTGCGCTAACGTGCGCTCGTCCGCTACGCGCTTTTGAGTTTCGGCTCATAAGACAGAAAGCAAGCGTTATATTTCCATTAGAATGATACGATTAGACAAGCAGTTCTCTGTAATCGAGACTTGTAGAAAAAGATAATTGTCTTAAATTTGCTTTACCCAATTTTTCGGCATACGCTTCGGGTGGGAAGCCATATGGATCGAATACAGACTTGTCGAAATTTGATCCAGTTTCGTCCAGTTCCACAAATTCCACAAGTTTTTCATATATGTGAGGATTACGGAATGCTTTGTTCTTTAAAAGATTGTCATTGAAGAGTATTCCTTTATCCTTTAATTGACGATACTGAGCAATTTTGTTCTATTGGCATGTGAAAGACGAAATAGTGTGTTAGAAAAAGTGCCATTATTATAGCATTATACGAAAAAAGTTTCTTGTATGTATACCCAAGTCGGCCAAATTAACACTATTCTCATACCTGTAACTCGGCATCGCACTCTGTATCGGGTTCTGCGGGAATCCCCCAATTCTCAGCACCTTCTATTGGCTTTGGTCTTAGCAACTTTTTCAAAAGCAATTCTTTCTTGGCTTCGTATTCCACCTCATCTATCTGCATAGCCTGCACAGAAGTTGTAATTTCTGGACTGATATCCCCACCGTCATGTCTTACGTGGGGGGATTCTGATACACCATCGCCTCGCAGATTACGACTACCATCGACGCTCATGGAGGGAGAATTTTGTGCTCGGGGAGAAGGTGTTCTGGACGTATTCTCACTTTTCGTTTGATCTGCTGAATTGTGATGTCGATAGTGAGTTTTTGTTTGTCCGGCATGGTTTTGTCGCCGTCGAATGAGGGTAGAAAAATCTGTTGGCGCCGGAGGTAGATTCTTTTGAGAAAGTAATGCTGTCGGAGATGTCGACTTTAACGAAATGCTTTCGAAATTACGTTCTATGCAATCAAAATTGAGGATGTTAGAAATACAAGATAAAAATTTTACTCAGGTCGCCGCCTTTTAGAATCGCGCCAAGGACTTGTGATGATGGATATTTTTAAAAAAGACAAAATAGAATTCATCGAAAGTGTTGGGAATCAATAAATCAAACACACCAGCTTAAAGTCGCATTTGGAGTTGTCTGTGGTTTGACTTCCCAGGTCTAATTACCTGCAGGCTTATTTGCAATGGCTTGGGACATAGAGGCACTCTGTTAGGAACCAAATTTGTAGTCTCTGTCAACCAAAAACAACGTTCCAAAAGAAAACAATTCTTTCATAGAAACACAAGCAAGAAACCATACTACGTTTTTTTGCGACTGAACTTCTTCGTTATCGTCACCGTGATCGGCCTTTGCAACTGTAGTAAAGTGGACGTATAATAAAGTACATACTTATGCATCGGATCGTTCTTTTCAAAAGTAGGAAGATACCTTCAATTTTGTCCATTATCATTTGTTCAGTGTTATCCGTTGCATGACTTGACTGCTGCTCTTCCTCCTCTTCTTCTTCGTCGTAGTAATTAAGTCCTAATAACGAGCTCATCCCAGAATATTTTGTAATAACTAGAGGCTTCTTTGCGCAACAGAATTTAGAAATTTAAGAACACGTGATTATCGTCCAAAAGTATAATTTCAACCAAACATTACTATTACTTTATTTCCTCAAACAAATCATGCTCAAATTAGTTTATGATACCGTTCTACTAGCATTATTTGGCTGTGTCATTATTTGATGTTTTCTAAAATAATATATTAATATTAATAGATGACAACAAGGAAGAGGAGGAATGGCGTGGAGGTTCAGCGCTATGAGTAGTGAGTATATTTTGTGTATCCGAAGGTAGGGTAGGTACAAATCGGAGAAATTGAAAACGCGCATCATGGCAGCTCACAAGTCATTATAGTAAAGAATTATTTAGTATAGATATCTGAAGTTCGCTAGTTGGGGTTTCAGAGGTGATAGGACATATTTATGAAACTCCGTACAGAAAAGCCGTGCCCGGGAATAGGTTATCATTAAGACACTATTTAGTTCTTGATATCATTATTGTTTGTTTCTGAAAGTTCAAATTTCCGTTATCGAAAAGCTAAACCGCTCCCTTTCCAATAAACAAAGACAAGCCTCACTCTGGACGTCCTTACGAAGCAGTGACGTCAGAAAACATTGCAAAGGTCAATGGTGTTTCTCATGAACGAATTGTCCACATTCTTCATAATGAGCTACAGCTCAAAAAAGTCTGTGCAAAATGGGTCCCTCACAAGCTTTCAGCAGACCATAAAGCAAACCGTGTGGAAATTTCTAAGAAGTGCTTGAGAATGGTTACGATAATATTATTACCGGGGATGAAACATGGATGTATTTCTTCACCGTTTCAAGCAAAGAAAGCAATAAAGTTTGGTTGGAAAAGGATGAAGACAGACCACAGATTGCCAGGACAGCGAAAAATTCAAAAAAGAGAATGTTCTTTTTTACGCTGTGGAGAGTGTTGTGGCGAGAATTGCTGTTCAAAAAGGTAAAACTGTTAATGCTGATCTTTATAAAAACCAGAAGTTTTTTCCCAAATTTATGGAAAAACGGGATGTGATGACAATGCTGCGCCACATAAAGCGGAAATTGTTACTGAATATCTCAAGGCAGAAAGAGCTAAACTCCTTCCCCATCCTCCTTATAGTCCAGACTTAGCCCCTTGTGACTTTTACTTATTCCTTAAAATTAAGAAAGAACTGAGTGGAAGAAGTTTTAATAGTATTGAAAATTTGTCAAGAGCCATTCAGGCAATTGCGGATACCTAAAGAGCAATATTACAAGTCATTCGATAGTTGGAAAATCGGCTGAAAAAATGTATAGAGGTAGGGGGAGAGTACTTTGAACGAATGTCATAATTACTTTATTGGTTATTTATTGGATTTGACTCAATAAAAATACATGATCAGAACTTTTCAACCACCCCACGTATTCTCATCATCACTGAAGAATCACCTTGAAAGGAGTCGAGTTGGCTATCATCTAGTCTGTGACAAGTATCTCTCGATGTATAAGCGACGTCCGGTGCTACAATTCCATCACCTTCAAATTTAAACCCTCCCCAGCCCGATTATCTTCGAACACTCCCAGTTTCTTGTAACGTCGGGTTGGGCACGTCTGCAGTAGTGTGTAAAGTCTTGATCCATAGAGCACTGTTATAACTCAATCGACTCCACCTCCTTATGAACAGATGCTCTCCTCTGGCCTGAACCATGATATGTAATATGGCTGTAATACCGCTAGCAGCCTCTTCCTCATTTACTGGAAATGCAGACCAATAGTTGTTGAAAAGAATTAGGGTGATCACGTTCAAATATAATAATATTCGTATCATAGCACGTCCATGGCTTGATATCGCTGCGAATTGACCGACGTCTAGTCTGTGTGTGAGAAAAGTGGGATGCGCCAGGGACTCGTATACTCTTTGAACCCATGGTTGGATATCTTTAACCTCATTCGTCCAATCAGGGTTTGGAGGTCATTCTCATTGAAGTTGTTAAAAATATTATCGACAGCTGTTGCTTCTTCGGCATCCAAAGTTTCCAAGAATGAGAGGTCATTCTCCATATCTTTATAAGAGCCACGCGTGATGGCAAAAGCAAGTGAGCGTTTTCGAATGCTAGAGAGGAAAAAAAAATCAAAAAGTAAATACTCGACGAACTTTCTTGAAAGAGCTACAGAAATATTTATAATAAAGAAAGCTATATTGCCGTGGCTCTATCCTAAGTACACAATACTCTATGCCCCAACGCCCGAGTCACAAAGTCGTTACCTGAATGGGTTCTCGCGCGTCTTAAGTCCTCTTTGCTCTTTAACCACTCCCCTCTACGCGTCTCCACGGCTACCTCCAGCCTCTGCTCCTCCTCCAGGCGCACCCACAGCAGCTGCTGCACCGCAGTAAGTTTTTCTCCCAGTCTCCCCCTCAACGTCTTCAGCAGCACTCCCTCGTCCTTATCCTCCTTAAACTCTTCCAACCCCCTCTTGGCCTCGTTCAACCTCCTCTCCGCATCGTTATACAGCTCTTGTTCGGTTTTCGTCATTTCTTTTTTTCGTTAAGGAAGGTGTGCTGCGCGATGTGATAACGATAATGTCATATTACTATTACGTAAATCTTTCACTGTCCATTGTATGCAGAACGACCAATGATAATTGATGCACAGCAACGCGCATTTGTCTATTAAGCATCATCGCAAGATTTCATTATAGAAACATCACTATGGTGCAAGACACCTAAAGACCGAAATAAAATACCCAACTTTCAAAACCCTAAGGCTTTTATATTAGAGGGTTTGGAGAAAAACTAATCCATAAGAATGATAGAGCAGATGAAGTAGAATAAAAGTTACGGTTTAAAATTTTTAGTCAACTAAAAAAGTTTGAACAGTTTTCAAAACTATAGAAAAACCCCTGATTTTCATACATCACATGAAAATTTTCGAAAACACTAATTGGCCAATCAGAATGCATAGATTATCGCATAATAAATATCATACTTCAACCATGACTGCACAGATCGAACCCAGGAAATATTAGTACATATGTACGGCTTTATGTTATGCTTGTTTATCACGTGAGACAGATAATAAATTTGAGTGTTGTAATTGTAAAAGAGAGAAAGTTACGAATTATGTTGCAAACGATAACATCCTTCGCATTCTCATTCAAGGAATATCAGTTGCTCGGGTGAATATGATTCTCCAATTTTAGTGATAAAGGAACTACGAAGCAATCCATTCCTTTCCATAGCGGCTTTATGTAACTACAAGAAAAATTTTCTATTTCTTACTTAGTTGTAACAGACAAACCTTTTTCTGAGTGATGCCATATGGTTACAATCAAAAATCTTTCTACGTCCACGCATCCCCTTGAAGGGATTCCCTAACGTTCAAACTGTGGCCCGACTATCATACAATTAACGGCAAATCCGTTTACGAGAAAAGCCATCGTAATGGAGATAAACTATCTTTCAACGTAAATCTTCCTTGACCATGTTGTCCCTATACAATAGCTAAATGACAACAACTTTCGTTAGCATTCGCCTGTAATCGTCAAGTAACGCCCAGCAATTGTCAATAATCGCCCAGTAATCGCAAGTAATCGCAAGTAATCGAAAACCTCTTCTCTATAAAAGCTAGCACTAAGACTGCTCGTACGTATCAAAAGAGTAACTGAAACTTTGTCTCTTGACTTATCTCTTGACATAATTTTTTACTTCAATGAATAATATCGAAAATGAGTAGGTCCTTAGACCATGCTTCGCATAAATTAAGCGAGCCTATTATTAGAATCGATCCAAATGAAGAGTTAAACTTAATCTGTTCATTGCTTTTTTACCGACCTACTGGTTATCATTCCAATGCAAAAGCTTTAAGAGACGCATGTAAAAAAGAAGGATATAATTTCCCGCATAAAAAAGTTCGTGAATGGTTGCATAACCAGAATGAATGGCAAAAGTATGCTCCGTCGCCGAAAAATACTCCACGGGTTAGTTATGGTAAAATTTCACGTCCAAATTGTGTACATATGTGTGATTTATTACGCCTTACATACTGTTGGTAGAAAGACATACAAATGGGCACTTGTTGTTATAGACGTTGCATCACGTTTTAAATGTACCATTCCTCTAACATCGAAGAATAGTTCAGAAGTTGCTAAAGCATTCAAGAAAATTTATGATAATTCCAATAACCCTCTTACATACCCAACACTTCTACAATGTGATGGTGGTAAAGAATTTATGGGCGAAACTGCTCGATTAATGGAAGCACATGATGTCACAATTCGAGTGATTGGTTCGCGGAATCGCAATTGTAGACAAATTCTGTAAGACATTAGCAGAGATGCTTTATAAAGTCCAGTATGCCATCGAATCAATATCTAAAAATTCTAAATTAATAAGAGCATGGGTTAAATATTTTCCAGAAGTTATCAATTACCTAAATAATTATCCAACGCGTCTTATTAGAGCTCCCGGATCGAAGAAATGGGGATTAGCACCTATAAAAGCAA